AGGTAGAAAGTAGATTTATCACTATACTAAAGTTGTTTTGATATGTTTGCTTAGTTTGTTAACACTTTGAGTGTGATGATGTTTCCAATTTTTTTTGTGGTTAATTTTCAATGTGCAAGGTCATTTTTTCAGTGTTTTCCTTTACTTTTTCCCAAAATATTTATGATAAATGATAGATTATTTATAACGTAAGGCCTACAAGTAAATATAGTTAAAATCGTCAAAATATCAAATAGTAACAAATTATAAATACATTTTAATCGTAACCCTTCAATCAAATTGATATCCAAATTTTATATCACGTAAGCAAAACAATTTTTGCTAATATTGTTTTCCCACTTTCTCTCTGATTAATGTGAATCAAATTGGAACCAGGGATATTTTTTATTTGTGTATTAACTAGAGTTTCAAGTTTGTAGTGTACTTGATAACTCTGGCATATTATAATTCATAAACAGCAACACCTTACATACATACCTACTCTAAAAACATATAATTTTGAATAACTGTTTCGCATTAAATTTATTAGAGACTGCAATTTAGGTGGTATAGAGGAATGAGATTAATTTTGATAACACTCAGGGGTTTTGAGACTAACAACAATTGTATTTGTTCAGTGTTGTGTGTGTTTAATAACAATAAACTAAACAGAAAGACAAAATAAATCACTAGTGACAGAAGGTCAAATACGTGAGAAGTTAACTTGCTGTAATAAATCCAAGCTCAATAGCTAACCAGAAATACTTTTCACTTTTCTTTGTTTTTAGTCAGTATTTGTTCTGTAGACAAATAATAAAACTAACAATTAAATCAAAATTTTAAAATTCACTATTGATTGCCACAATTATTAATACAATTCTATTCATCAACAAGTCATAGAAAATATACCAAAAATTTGCGTTTTCACCGTCAATATACCAAAAGTTATAACACCCAATTGACTAAGTCTAAATTTGATCCTAGACTAGGACCTAAAACTAGGACCTTGGCAAAATTTTACAATATTTATATATTTGAAGTGAATATTTTTAAATGTCTCTATACAGCAGCCTTTTATTTTGTAATAAATTTATTCAATATATCTTCTTATTTATGAAAATGTTAATTTTTATAATCGAATTAAAACCTTACAGAAATTTTCTAATCCTTTAACTTAAAAATATTCCATCTAAATTGCTAAACTCCCATGATATTTACCTCTGAAGAGAATATATTCCAAGTTTTGATTAAAGAATAAAACTGTTGTTCAGAGTTTGCTGCAGCACAATATCCCCACATTTGAAAGTCAGATTGAAACTGAAGTAATATTGCAAAAATTTAAATCTCAGCTTTTCTCAACAACTCTCAACTTACATTCAGTTTTATATTCTTCGACTTTTAACCTAATTACCAGGACCTGTTTATGGCTTATTTTTTTTTTAATTTTACAAAATTGCGTTTACTTCGCAGTACTTAACAGCTGGAATATTTTAATTTTACACTTTAATTGTTGTAAATTGTGTGTTTTTTTAGAAAATGTTAGAATTTACTAAATTATCTATTAATTATTATTATTTAAGTAATTATCTCTGAACAGAGGTATGACCATAGACAAAAAGAATTAAATATAGATATAGACCGACTGCAGTTCTGTGGTTAGCATATGTTCCGGCGCCCACCGCTAGGAGTGCCGTGTAGTTACGGCGCACACCGCTGCAGCGTCTGCTGGTCGCATACGGCAGTGCGAGGGGCCGACGACAGTAGCAAATCGAACACCGGTAAGCTCTAGCGGCACATCGCGTAACCTTCCTTTGACAGTCAATATTAAATATAGGTAATAATTTTTATTTATTATTTTTATTATTATTTTTTTAATTATTATTATTATTTATTATATTATATATATTAAATATTTAAATAATTAAATATTTAAATATTAAATATATAAAATATTAAATATTTATTATATTATCTATATAAATAAAATTAGAGTTTTGTCTGTACATTGCTCAGAATCATAAACTTTAAGGTTATTTTTACGTTTTATACATTAAAGAAACCGAAACAAGTCTCATCTAAATTTCTGTCTGTCTTCCAGTCTGTTACGGTCCAAGAGCCATTTTACGCGGCCTTCTCCTGAAAAACGAGAGTACCTATCAAGTTCCAAATCATTTTAATCTATTAACTGGATTGGCGAGATTGTCTTTAGCCATTAAAATATAGCGTCACTACTTTGTAAATAAAATGACGGACGTTTAAAAACCCTATTTTGTGCGATTTTTTGTAAAGTTTTCTCCCAATGTTTATTCATCTATGAAATAACGAACAGCTGTTCGAATCAAGATTATTTCTTCTAGCTGTCACTGATATGTTTACATTGAATGTTGTTTATAAATACCGCAACCATTTCCGATCACGTTTTGAAAGCAAATCCAAACCAAGTAAGATTAAAAACGTGTTTCCTTACATAACGGATTTAATTAATCGCAAGTGCAATAATTTGTAGGGTAACCGTAAATGAAAATAGAGATTCTTTGTGTATGAAATTGTTCTTGAGTTTTGATAACCGGGAAAAAGACCTTGAATCAGTGTTGTATATGGCTGGGAAACTTACATTTTTTAAATGAGCGTTTTCAGTCGAGACTCGGCACACTACCGACGCGCGTCTACATGTCCATAGTAAAAATAAAAGTAGGCATACCGTGTACTTATGTTTTATTCATCATGTGTATAAGTGTACAGTTCGTGTATGTGTTTTAAAAACTTCAAGACGCACCTAATGGGGAAGCTCAAGACCTTATATTAGGACTGATGATGGCGATTTAATTTCGCCGAAATGCATCTCCTGTAATAAGATACATTAGGATCGACCGGCGGACACAGGTAATTTATTAACCTTTTATTGACTGTCATACCGTACCGATTCGGAAAAACAACAAACAGCATAAAAGAAGTTATGTATAATAGTTTTGCCAGCATATCTGAAAATATGCAAACCAACTGCTGTTCTTTATATAAGAAGGTTTCAACTGAATACTATAAGATCCCCGTGCGTAGAACGGGTACACAGCTAGTATATTATATTATTATTATATTAATTATTATTATTTTAATTATTATTATTTTAATTATTATTATTTTAATTATTATTATTTTAATTATTATTATTTTAATTATTATTATTTTAATTAGTATTATTTTAATTATTATTTTTTCTCTATGGTATGACCAAGCTTCTCAAGAGAAACATTGCAATTGCCAGTGATTTTTAATTTATAGTTATTGGATGCTAATCCTACCTATTTATTCATCTTGTGAATTTTCAAATTTTGCTGACGGGCTACTTTACCATAAATCAAGCTCAAGTCACTTTCAGAATCAAGCATACCATTAACCTCGAAACCGTTATAAGTGACAATCGTTTAACTTTGGACTGGTGTGAGATAGAACAAGACATTTTACACAGAGTTTTGAATGAGAAGCAGCTTTTTTTATTGTGACAGGAAAATCCACCACAAAAGTAGCATTTGGAACGCACAGCTACAGCAGGGTAGTGACTAACACTTGTGGTTTCATTAATAACCAGAGTCCTTGGTCAATAAGTATTTTGAAACAGCATTTGTTGATGCACAAGGAGAGACATCCTGCAATGTTGTTGGGCCAACTCCAAAACTCGAGCTTGAGCATGAGCTTGAGCATGAGCATGAGCTTAAGTCAAATTTTCGTTTTCATGTAGATGTATTACAGGACTTAGTAGATCTCTAATAAATTAGTAACGAATACAGTCATCATGATTGCTTTCGGCTGTAACTGCTTTGGATTGGTCACGACTAAGTATTCTTGATTCTAAACACCGGTCAACAGACTCATTTGGTTCTTGACGGCGAGAAAACAATTTTTGGCTAGGAAAAACTTTGTTTACAGGTTTAACAGATACATTTTTTAGGACAGCTTTATTGTAAGAATTGCATTGTCTTGCGTATTTATAAAATGTTGTAGGTGATAAATAATTGATAAGAAGACAAAATTTGTCTTTCTCATAAGCATTGGTATTTCTAATATAATTTTAGAACCTGTTTTGCCAGTGATTCCAAACTGCAGATGGATTTTTATTCTGGATTTAACTCTACTACATTTTTGTGAATAAATTATTATAGAAATGGGAATATTTACCTGAACAGAATGAGGCTGTTAATTCAATAAAGAATCACACTCGAAACATGATAGGAGCTATTTACAAACAGTCAATAAATAAACAAAATAAATTACATGTGATTGACAATCCATAACACAAAGTAAAGAAGGAAAGGCAGAGTATAAAATATTATATCTACAGTATATTATATATTCATAAAAACCTGATGGAAAAGGGACATTAATATTGTAGAAATTCAGTGCAACAACTTATTATAAAAGTTTGCTTGATTTCTATAAATTGGGTAATCATTCCTAATCACAAGTACGGTAGTAGATCAATATTGTTAAAAATATAAAACGTGTTATCAATTAAATTGTGGCTTACACTGTAATATCATATCAAAGGGTAAAAAGGTATTTTGAAACTGTTGATATCAAACTTTCTAATACCCTTACTTTTACATATTTCCAAACTAATGACATTTTCAGAATAGTTATTACACTTATTAACTAACTAAAAGCACCTAGTGTTTTCTTAGTAAATTTAAGTTTTTACTTATCAAAGTGAATCAAATCGTGGATCAATTTTTATCAAAGGGATCTTATCTCTACCTTACTTTAACTTTCTTCTACAAAGTCCTAAAACTGTTCAAATCTTAGAACAACTACATTCTTACCATAATTGTTCATAACAAAAGTTCACGCTTAATTTAAATTTGTGTACACTAACAGTTATTGCCCAGTTTTCCGAAAACTAAAACATTTGCTTGGCAATTTAGCTTCGCTCACGCTTTTATGGGAAATCAAATCTTGATAAGACATTTAATGGTGTATATGTGATAATATATTGGTTGGTTGTTTGAGCTCACCTCCCTTTTTGAACAATGTTCAAGTTAGTACTTGTACTTCAAGTACTTGGGCTTTCCTTCTGCTCAGTTCGAGGTATTTATGTATTCTAAACTCTCTCACATTCTATTTTGCTAGATTTCATAACAGTGTTAAGAATTACAATACCAAGTGTTGTAGCTCTACCTTAATTATTTTTTTTTATATTTAACTGTACAGGGGCTGTTTTTCTACCCTGGAAATACAAAGACATCATGTATGTATATTGATAGAAATGCAGGTGACATCCCTTTCCAGTGTTCACCTTGCAATCAAAAGGTCGCCAGATCAATCCCGAGAGAAATCAGTAGCTTTTTGATGGTTCAAAACTGGACCCAGCCGTCCCTGATCATTATGGGCTTTAATAATGATCCTGACTAATGAAACAGCTGATCTTAGTCAGTAACAAAGCTACAGATTATCCCACACTAATCTACACTCATCCTTCATTCATAATTGGGTTAAAATACGCGCCTAGATAGCATCCTCATCTCAATGATTGATACTATTGATTATATTGATAATGATATAAGCTGTAACTGTCAGCCTCAGGATGAAGATTAAATTAGAGAAATTGAACGAAGTAAAACTGAAATACCATTGTATTGTATACTATAGCATCAACTATCACAGAATAAGTTTTTAAAGAAGATCGAACTTCTACAGAAGTGAGAAATGAGAAGCTCATTTAACAATGCTTAATTTGAACCAGAAAATGCCATTTTTGGCCATATAGTTAAGATTTATAGTTGAGCATCAATGTTAATGATATAACTGTAACACTATAGAAAGTTTTTAGTATAGCTTTATACCCCTGTTCCAGGATGTAGAGAAGATGAGATCCAATGCCCCTCTGGTCATTGTATCCTGGGGAAAGCTTGGTGTGATGGTTATATTGACTGTCCTGGAGGAGAAGATGAACGTGACTGCAATCTAGGTGTGTTTTTGTTTTTATAAAAAAATATGAAATTGATGCAAGAGATAATTGTTTAAAGCCTTAAGCTGGGTTTTCTAGGCGAGGAAGCAGAGTGCAGAGAGCGGAGTCATTTCTTCTCTTGTCTTAGGTAATTTAATGGTTTTCCCAGAAGTGGAAACCGCCAAAAATCTATTCTCAGTGGCACAAATGTTTGTGAATAGAATGTAGTTTATTTTGATGTAACTCTCAAGATGCCACACAATATCATGAATTGTGCGTAAATAAATTAATTGGGTTTATACACAAGGTAACCAACAAAATGAAAGGTAACTTAATAAAAAAGTTCTTGAAACCGGGTATTTTGACCAAGCAAAGCTGCTGCTGTGAAAGATTCTCATCTCTTACTTTTGATCCTGATGGGAGGAGCAAACAAAAAGAGGGCAAACGACATAAAACTGTTCTGGCCGGGGAAAGATTGTTGTTAGGTATCAATCGTTAGGAAATCCCCTCATCAGCTGCGTAAATTTGAAAAGACAGTTTTGTAGTTTCCCTCTTAGGAAGATAAATTGAAAAAAATTTCTCTGTTGAAAGTAATCAGTGATAACTGAAACTTATAAAATGTTGAAACCCTTATTGTGCTGTGATTGTGAACATTTATTCTTGTTTATCCTTTTCCAAACTGTGGTTGATTAGTGATGTCTCGTATTATTCCCACCCAGGACCATGTAGAACAGCAACAGACCAGTTTCAATGCACATCTGGCCACTGTATCATGAAGGCTGTTGTATGTGATAGATATCTTGATTGCCCTGGAGGTGATGATGAAAAGGACTGTCATTATAAAGGTATGTTTGGTTTTGGTAACCCTAAAAATATTTTTGTTTAAAACACCTCCCCTTACAATACAGAGTTTCTTCTCATGACATTACAAGAACTTTCTTGGAAAACTAGTTGAAATACCTGCATCAAATAAAGCCATTTTTTTATTTTTTTTATTTTAGGAGGATGAGAAAAATCGGGTTTTTCAGAAGGTTGTCATTTTTTAACATAAAAGAATAACCTACGCAGAAACGAGTTCAAACAAATTTTGTCATTCAACGTGATTCGGATGCTACATTGAAAAATTTATCTTCCTATTAGCACATTGATTAAATAAAATTTTTAACTATAAACCATATTTCTGCTATGCATGAAGGTTGCCTTTAACATTCAAGATTTTAAACTACTGAGGCCTTTATTGCTCTAAAGATGTTTGTTATTGTATGTACGTTTTGTTTAGTTGTGAATGTTTCAAGAATAATTTCCTGCAAGCAGACAGTGAAGACATTTTCTTTCAGTCAACCTCTCAAAAAGGTAGGTCTAACCCTTATTCAAACCACTCACCACAATATAAGTTGCAAGTCCGTAGACTAGACTAGCGTCTAGACTGCCAGTGCAAGTCCGAGGATCGGACTCAGATCAGGATCGTGGATCAGATCAGTGGATCACCCCCCACCACCGCACCATGTCGTACGCTTCCGAATCATACCGGCGCATCAGCATAGCTTATCTAACTGTTCGCGGAAAATTGTTATCTGTATCACTGTCGCTGTCAAAACGTATAATTTTTAGATTAAATTTGAACTAAATATAATTAAACTATCATAACCTAACCAAACTTGCTGATAATGATAAACTCGAATGAAGGTTTACTAATCGAAAAATAGCTCTGTTCTAAAAATAAAATTATAAATGTCTCAAATTCAATTTTACAATCTTTTAATTATAAAATTAACTGTCATAACCTAACCAAACCAACCAAACTTGCTGATATGAAAAAAATTGTTGACAAAAAGTTAGTGCTCCCGGTGGGATTCGAACCCTGCACCTTCAGATTATCAGCCCGACACGCTATCCACTTCACCACAAAGGCTCATGACTCAGTTCCGTATCGTTGCAGAAATGGTTGACGTCACGCCATCGGCACTGAGCGGTGGTGGGGGGTTTTTCGATCTGATCCACGATCCTACCGATCCTAGGAGTTGCACTGGCAGTCTAGATGCTTATGTAGACTAGTGTATAGTCTCTTCAGCTGAGAAGCCTTTTCAGCTGATTTGATTGGCATTTAAATCAGGTACTGGGATTTACTGACTTTACTGAAGCAATCAGATTTATGGTATAAACATAAATTTACTGAGAGTAATTCTATAGAATTATCATCTATACTGTATGTTCTGACTGAGTAATCCGATATTGTTTTGCACCACTCAGAGCCTGAAGTAGATGAAACATTCAATGGTGCACTTAAGTGGTATCTAGCACTAGCCGCTGGTGTCTAGCACTAATGCCTTTCTAACCCCCCTTGCCCTCATTTACTACTAACTACAAATACGTTTCACTCATGCAAGAGGAAGACCTTTGTACCCGTGATGGGAACTTGCCAACTTGTGCACTATTCTCGTTACTCTGGCTCTTCCATATAGTAATAGTTACTCCGGCACAACATACTAGAGCTGAAAGAGCACGGTCGCCCCACAAGCATGGTTCCTCTGTGACTAGAGTAACATAATGCTAAGATTGATGCAAAATATTGAAACAGTATTAAGACAGAAATTGTGTTTACATTGGTTTTTCAGGTGACTTGGAATGCTGCTAAAAAATATTGTGAAAGTAAAGGGAGGAAAATGGCCACTTTAAAAAATCAGAATGAACAGGATCAAATTGAACGATTGATGATTACAAATGGTAAGTTACACAGATTAAGTTGTGGCGATTCAAAATAGTTTGTCTCCTTCATCCTTCATGGCACTTTAAATTAAGCAAAAAAAAATTTGAATACCACCCTATATTAGAGACGAGAGGTATAAATAAGAAGATTGAAGATTGGCAAAATTAATTTTGCCAATGTCTCCCCAGTAAAGATTTATATACAAGTAGCGTTGACCTTCTGTAGTGTTCTACTAACACTTGTTCAGAGAAACCATTTTTCAATCAACAAACTAATTCTATTTGGAAACATTGATTTTCAGGTTTGGCAAATGAAAACGTTTGGCTTGGACTTTCAGACATAAAGGAAGAAGGATTTTTTAAATGGGAAGATGGAACAGACCTGAAGTACACAAAATTTGAAAACTGGAAACCAGGGGAGCCAAACGATTTTCATTACTGGAGAAAAAATCCATTAAACCTTGAGCATTGTGTGCAAGCCAATGGGAAGGACAATTTTTGGCCGGGAAGTAACAAGTTTCAATGGAATGATATGCCTTGTGATCAGTCAAATAATATCCCTGGGGACCATTTAAGTTACATTCTCTGTGAAAATATAGAATGTGCAGAGTAAACTCATATACATGATTAAAGTTTTATAATGCATTATGTTGCACTGGACAGCATACATTTGTTTTAGTGTCAATAAATTCCACTTGTTCTGTTTTATTATTTAAAATTGTTTCCCCAGTCTCTGGTATAAACGATGCATTATTCAGGTCTATACTACTAGGGGTGACGAGAATCTGCAGTTGACGCGGCAGCCAATAGCAAGACTGGACTAGCGCGACGTTGCAACATCGCCCGTTCACTAATTATTTTTGACACTAATAAAAATATACTAAACAGTATTTTTAAATCAGCTGGTATTATTAGATTTAGCAACACCGCACTGACCTCATTGGCTCCTTCGAAGTCACGTGGTAAATATGCTCCTCCCATAACTGCAGACTCTCGTGGACCGTACTGTAATGATTTAAGACTATACAATAAAAATTGTGTTTTTAAATATACCAACAACACTAACACCTAACTTACCTGGCCCTGTCCTGTCCATAATATATATACAATCATCTCTATATCACACCTATATTCCACCTTCCAAATTGCACTGACCAAGTGAACGAGGAATGGAATGATAAACTGTGGTGTACGGCGAAGCTTCATGTGTATGGCTCTACCGCTGAGCCACAGTGAAAGTACGGCAACGAAAGAGGGAACAGACGACATCAAAAAAGTGTAAATATGTCATTCATCCTGAAGTGAAGTGTTTACTTACATTAATTTTAGAAATTCGTACCATTTCTTTTTTTTATTATTAAAATGAATCGTTAGCGAATTATATTGTCAGCCAACAGTGTTATTTCTCTATAACCAGCCTTCTTGAAGTTTATTCAGTATGATGTTTATCATACTGAAGCTGAGTGAAGAATTTTTGGGAGAAGTTCAAAAGAAAGTTTGCTTGAATAGCCTGTCTCCAAGTTTCTAATTATTCACAGTACTGTTCTGGTAAATCGGAAAATACAAGTTCATTTTATTCTCCGTAAGTTCATTATAGTAAACCTAACATTCTAATTTGCATGGTTTATAAATAATTGCTGAGTCAAAAACTAAGAGGTTAAAAAATATTTGTCATTATGTAATCCATTCTCGAATTACAATGTAGGCCTAGTTATACAGGTATTGAAGTAAACTTATATAAGGTACTGTATTCATTAAATGATTGACCACTAACAAAAAAATTGTGCAATAGGACCTAGCCTAGGTTGTGTAAAGGCATACCGTAACTTAACCTGCCGGTTAGAACTCATACATAATTAAAGGTAGTTTATAAATCATCAGAGATGTTTCCTACAGTTTGCCTGATAGGCCTCTAAATAACATTGTTTTCAAAATTTAACAATAAAAAGTTAAAAATTACCTAACTTATGTCTTGAAATTGCTAGCAGTGTTGTTAAGATCCATATTTACCTGAAAGTCATTTTACTCAATCGCCTTTATTAGGCCTTAATTCAAATGTAAATTAAAGACTCGAAAAGCATTATTTTATTTTATAATAAATTAGTTTGGGTCCCACCATAGAGAAGTGAGGTACAGATGAAACTTGCTTATGGGACAACCCTGAGCTTTCAACTTGTGTGAACCTGGCAATAACTTGGCAATAAGTAGTACGCCCGCCCGCTAAAATCTATTGCTGGCCGTTTTGCGGCAAAATGCGACCGCGTAACATGAAACCGATGATGTCACCAGATAGAGGACAGTTTAACGGACACAACAGTATCAATATCATGTACCTGAGGAATAAGAAAGGGGGGGTAAAGTCAGCAATAAGTAGTGGGCGCGCCCAAAAAAATCTATTGCCGGCCGTATTGCGGAAAAATACGTCCGCGAGCAATAATAACGACGATCCCAACAGATAGAGGACACTTCAACGGACACGACAGTATCAACATCATGTACCTGGGGAGTAATTTAGGGGGGGTAAAACCAGCAATAAGTAGTGGGCGCGCCCGAAAAAATCTATTCCCGGCCGTATTGCGGAAAAATACGTCCGCGAGCAATAATAACGACGATGCCAACAGATAGAGGACACTTCAACGGACACGACAGTATCAACATCATGTACCTGGGGAGTAATTTAGGGGGGGTAAAACCAGCAATAAGTAGTGGGCGCGCCCGAAAAAATCTATTCCCGGCCGTATTGCGGAAAAATACGTCCGCGAGCAATAATAACGACGATGCCAACAGATAGAGGACACTTCAACGGACACGACAGTATCAACATCATGTACCTGGGAAGTAATTTAGGGGGGGTAAAACCAGCAATAAGTAGTGCGCGCGCCCGATAAAATCTATTGCTGGCCGTATTGCCGAAAAATACGTCCGCAAGCAATATTACCAATGATGCCAACAGATAGAGGACACTTCAACGGACACAACAGTGTCAATATCATGTACCTGGGGAGTAATAAAGGGGGGGTTAAACCAGCAATAAGTTGTGCGCGCGCCCTTTCAAATCTATTGCTGGCCGTATTGCGGAAAAATACGTCCGCGAGCAATAATAACGACGATGCCAACAGATATAGGACACTTCAACGGACACGACAGTATCAACATCATGTACCTGGGGAGTAATATAGGGGGGGTAAAACCAGCAATAAGTAGAAGACACATACATTCTAGGCCTAGCTTAGAATGTATGAAATTAATTACCTAATCAACTACAGCTACAACTTATTGCTTTAAATTCAAAAAGGTGTAACTTAAGTTACCTACTTACCTCATTTCTCAAAAAAAATTCTGAACGTGGGTTAGCATTTAAGTTAATAACTTACTTTCAAGGGTTGCTGTTTCTGACCTACACATCACCTAGTACATTAAAAAATCTCTTATTTAAACTATTCTTTGTCATTAATAAATCCGTTGAAGTGTCCCCTATCTGTTTTACCCCCCCTAAATTACTCCCCAGGTACATGATGTTGATACTGTCGTGTCCGTTGAAGTGTCCTCTATCTGTTGGCGTCGTCGTTTTTATTGCTCGCGGACGTATTTCTCTGCAATACGGCCAGCAATAGATTTGAAAGGGCGCGCGCACAACTTATTGCTGGTTTTACCCCCCTTATATTACTCCCCAGGTACATGATGTTGATACTGTCGTGTCCGTTGAAGTGTCCTCTATCTGTTGGCATCGTCGTTATTATTGCTCGCGGACGTATTTTTCCGCAATACGGCCGGAAATAGATTTTTTCGGGCGCGCCCACTACTTATTGCTGGTTTTACCCCCCCCCCCCTAAATTACTCCCTAGGTACATGATGTTGATACTGTCGTGTCCGTTGAAGTGTCCTCTATCTGTTGGCGTCGTCGTTTTTATTGCTCGCGGACGTATTTCTCTGCAATACGGCCAGCAATAGATTTGAAAGGGCGCGCGCACAACTTATTGCTGGTTTTACCCCCCCTAAATTACTCCCCAGGTACATGATATTGATAATGTCGTGTCCGTTGAAGTGTCCTCTATCTGTTGGCATCGTCGTTATTATTGCTCGCGGACGTATTTTTCCGCAATACGGCCGGGAATAGATTTTTTCGGGCGCGCGCACTACTTATTGCTGGTTTTACCCCCCCTAAATTACTCCCCAGGTACATGATATTGATACTGTCGTGTCCGTTGAAGTGTCCTCTATCTGTTGGCATCGTCGTTATTATTGCTCGCGGACGTATTTTTCCGCAATACGGCCAGCAATAGATTTTTTCGGGCGCGCGCACTACTTATTGCTGGTTTTACCCCCCCTAAATTACTCCCCAGGTACATGATATTGATACTGTCGTGTCCGTTGAATTGTCCTCTATCTGTTGGCGTCGTCGTTATTATTGCTCGCGGACGTATTTTTCCGCAATACGGCCGGGAATAGATTTTTTCGGGCGCGCGCACTACTTATTGCTGGTTTTACCCCCCCTAAATTACTCCCCAGGTACATGATATTGATACTGTTGTGTCCGTTAAACTGTCCTCTATCTGGTGACATCATCGGTTTCATGTTACGCGGTCGCATTTTGCCGCAAAACGGCCAGCAATAGATTTTTTCGGGCGCGCGCACTACTTATGGCTGGAAAAAGGCTGGAGTTATTGCCAGGTTCACACCAATGAGCTTTCAGCTCTATTATGGTGCAAGAAATACAGTGGCGGCGAGCTAGGGGGCCCGTAAGCCCTGACAGGGATTTTTCAGGAAATTTTACCAGGACACGGACCCGCGATTGTGCGACAGGCTCAGCCACACGGGCCCCAACCTTCCATAACAATATTTGGTACTTCAGTATTAAACGGAGGCCACATTTTGTCAGCGCGCTGCGGCGGTTATGTTAGGTTGGGTTATCGTAAATATTATGTGTGTAGGACTTTCCTCGCTTCGTTATGAATCGAACGATACTTTCTATTATGATAACCCAACCTAACATAACCGCCGCAGCGCGCTGACAAAATGTGGCCTCCGTTTAATACTGAAGTACCCAATATTTATATGAGAATTAAGTTACCATATGTTTTTTATGACAAAAATTTGTTAAAACCAGTAAGGGCACTAGAGCAAGTAGTTTACAACAGCTCAACTGACACTATTATTTGACCGATCGATATACATTACCAACCTAAGTAAAAAAATTGTCTTCAGTCATGCAAGTTGCATCAACTGTCCTTGTTGACTGTGTGAAGGCGCCATAATAGGGCTGTATTTAGAACCAATATGGCCCCCGGCCTAGGAGGATAAAACATTAATGTTATCCTCCTAGCCCCCGACGGGTCACACCAGAAAGGGCCCTCTCCCTCTATAATGATTAAACTAAATGAACTTGATATTTTTTTTACGTTCAAATCGGCGAATGAACCTAGGTGGCTAGGGCACTAGCTAAATAAATAATCCCCCATTCTTTCATTGATGCTAATGAAAGATTTTCATTTAGGCCTAATTTCATTTCTTACTATTAGGAGGCTGCACTTTGGATTTGTTTACTTCGTAGGCTTGCCGTTTACTTGGATTGCCTAATAGCAGGTATTTGAACCTTTTTTAATATTATTTGGCAATCCGGAGGCTAATGTCCACAATAAAAGTAAAAGCTTTTTTTCTGCGAGGATCACGCTCACGAAATTGAAAGATT